CATTCTACGACACTGGTCCATTAGAGCACGGCCGGGTTCGAGCTGTTTTTGGCCTGGCCCGAACATATGCGCAAGAGTGACTGTGTTTCTGGCAAGTGTGTCATTATACCCAAGGATGACCTGAAGATCATCCCTCACATCTGCGGACTGCACACTTCTAAGCGTCAAGTCTGAGACAGCATATAGTCAGCAAAGTAGAAATAAATGTTGATAGGTTGTATCGAAGTAAAAGATCAATTATGATAGGTAAATTATCGATTATAGAATTATGGAGGACTATTTAGGTATTCCACAAGAAACGCACAGAGGGGTAAAAAGTATGTAACCTTCTGCAGTCCTATATAGTAATTCCTTACAAATAAAAATTATGCTTTGAAACCAAGACATGGTATGGAAACAAACGCCGTACTACAGTGTGACGTGACGAAAACTTGACAAGCAGTCATGTGAAATAGTCTCTCGCAAAGCCCCTCAGATCAAAAAACTCCAAAACTAGGGGCTGATTAGATTAGCTTGTTTAGTTTGTATTTTTCCGAGGCAGTGTTCAATTCTTGGGTAGAAAAACCTATGTTGAGATGTTGACAGCACATCTTGTTGACTTTTTAATACTTTTCAGAACAGTATTTGAGACCAGCTTTTTAATGTCATTATCACTGAACTCTACGAAACGAGTTTGTTTTACTTCCATGTAAAATGAAAGAATGTAAAGTATAAACTCTCCAGCTGGCTTTGTTTCTTTTCGACGGAAATAATCCGAGAACAAATATCGACGCACACGGGGTTATTGCGTCTTATGATATGGCTCTGTCTCACAAGGACTGGAAACTACCAAATTCACGAATTTGATTGGCGTCAAATCGGTTTTGAAAGCGGTCTAGATTTTCCCATCTAGACCGGCATCTAGACCGGCAATGTTTTGCAGTGAAAAAGTTGCAAACTAAAATGCAAAATCATTGACTATTTTCATCTAACAATATTTATTTTATGTAAGTGCCAAAAGGGCTGCTGAGAAAAAAAAAGTATTGAGGACGAACAAACTTTGGCAGAATTAAATTCAGCTCATCGCCTTTCGCAAGCTAGCAAAATGTCAGTTAGTACAAACTGGTTACATCAAACAAATTGAATTTTTCTTGTTGGCACCATATAATAAACATCTTATTAACCAAGCTTAGTCGGTCTGTATGGGAGAATCTTGACCAAGGTCGTGTGTACAGATCTCACTGCGTTCGGTCTGTACTCGCGACCTCGGTCAAGATTCTCCCATACAGACCTCCTGTTCGGTTAATAAGAGCTAAATACCCGTTCTGTAATTTTGCATCACGTGACGTAAAATACCAATTAAATCGCGCGAGAATTAATCGGTGGGTTATAATTTATCATATCCGTGGTCTATCAGTAAGAACCCCGTCATAAGTAACGATAAGATAGGAAACCTTTACTGTATCTTTTCAGGATATTACACAAACGGCGCAAAATCAGTTATCATTTTAACTAGAAAAAGATAATACGACAAAACTAAACTGGAATTTAAAATGAACAACGAATATTTAATTAGAGGCACCCTCGGATCGTTTCGGTAAATTATTTGTTCAGAAGGATTTTAATCCTCTCCGAATACCGTAGAGAATTGTCGCCTCCTACTTTCGTGGTATGAGAAATTCAATGCCTGTTGTTTCCCGATTGATAAAAATTTCGTTTTTGGTACCACAAAAGCGATCAACTGATTTTTGGAAAGGTACGTGGATTTTCAGGAAATGGACCAAAAAGAAAACCCTAAAAATAATCGAGTTCCCTACAGAATGACCGATCGAACAGGTAGCAATTTTATAGCGCTGCTTAATAGCGTAAATGAGTGCATTTTAAGGCGTTTGAGAGAAGACCCTTGTTGCTGTACCCCTGATTAAATACCAAGTCGCAATATATAGTATACGGAAGAATCAGTCGTAATCGTAACTGGAAAAAAAATGAAACTATTAGTTATTGCTCATTGTGATAATGCTAAATCGTATATAGGAATTAATATAAATACAGGGGAACCCCGCCTTACGGTCACCCCGCTAATACCGTCACGTCGTTATTTCGGCAAGTCTTTTTTGTCCCGGCGAAACGCCCATAGAGTTTCTCATAGAAAATCCCCGATAATACGGCCAACGGCCACATTTTGAAATCCCAGCCTGTACACGGTAATCCTTTATAATTTTACCCTTTATAATTAATACGGCCAAATGTTCCTGGCCCGTCGATGACCGTATTAACGGGGTTCTACTGTCAACTGGCTTTCATAGAATCGAATTTCTCTAGCCTTCATTCGATTTTCTTTACACAATATGATTATACAAGAAACGTATCAAACGTTCAGCACAAGTTAAGTAAATTGGTCTCACATTCGCTGTCTAACAGCACCCTGCCACGAGTATAAAGGCTTAACTCATAATTCTAATTGACAAGAAATAGAACCAATAATTATAGCAAATAAAATCGTACATAACACAGGTATTTTCTGCGCCTCAAATTGGTAAAACATTAAAGAAAGAATAACATAGCCTTCTTAGTTTTAGTAGAATCAGTCTTCATCCCAGTTTTACCAAAGTTATGATCAACATGGTGGTTTTGTTGCGTGAAGGCCTTAAACAAAGTTATAGTCTTATACAGAATGCGCACCAAGGCGACAATGATTATAACAGAGAGCTTCAACCCTTAAATACCCCCCATCCTCAATATAAACAGCCCTCTGTTTTGGCTTTGTTACGCCTCGTCAGGACGGCATAGCTAATCCTGGGAACAAGTTTCCCACAAAAAGAATGGTGGACATACAACATAAACCAAGCCATACATACATAAAGCATGTATGTAAGCCAAAAGCATAGGCTTCTAGTCTGAATTGCGTAAATCAGAACCTTGACAACATTAAATTCTAACAATTGGATTCATTGTATTCTGACACGTACCTACGGACTCCTTTAAGATTCCTTCTTCAACAGGGTAGAACAATGTTGAAACGTTACCATTTCGTGGTATTTCATCCGGCATTCTATATATTTTCGCCCCTCCCCATTCCCTCCCCAACATGACGCGTTTCGTTTTGATCTTGTCGCTGGAATCCTACAACATTGGTTGGGGTGGGGTATTGTGGTACAGTGTTTTGAATTTTACAGCTCACAAACATAATACATGGAAATTACTTCTCGAATATAACGTTTCAACTACTTATGTCGCCTATATTGAACCCAGAGGGTTCTTGCTTTCCGGTTACGTTTCTACACGGTTTCTATATAAGTTCCCACTGGTTTCCACTAAGTTCCTAAACAGTATGTAAATGGTTCCTACATGCACAGAAGACTCTTTGAGGTTCTTTCAAGGTTCCTGCCATGTTCCTACAAGGTACCCAAATGCTCTCAATAGTATTCCACTGGTTCTTACTGAGTTCGTACAAACTTCATGCAAGGTTCCCACAGTACAAATCTACAATGTTTCTACACGGCCTCCACCGTAATCTTACAAGTTTCGTACAGGGTTTCTTAAACGATTCCTTCGGGATTAACGTATCGGTCTTCAGTTCCACAAGGTTCATAGAAAGTTCTCTCCTTTTGTTTATATGAAGGTTTCATGGATTCCTTTGAAGTTTGTATCCTACAAGTTACAATTAATGTACCTTGTTTCTAAATGCTTCCATTAGGATTCCTATGGGGTAAATACATGATTTCATCAAAGGTCCGTACGGTTGGTTTGGATCAAAATATTTTGGGTATTTTAGGGATCAAATACTTTCGGCTTGTGTAAGTTGTTGCAGCTCATATATTATGTCACTCATGCTAGGGCGTTCCTCAGGGTCCTTCTTCACGCACTGCTCAATGAGCCCCCGCAGGGCACCATAAGTTACCTGGCCGATCTGACACTGGACCTCTTGAGGAACCGGAAGTTCTCTGACGCACATTTCACACAACAGTAAACCAAAACTGTACACGTCCACCTGATTGAAAAGAATGCAAGTGTAATTTATACTTAAGAAATAGAAAAACATGAATCTATATATATATATATATATATATATATATATATATATATATATATATATATATATATATGTCTGAATATATGA